TCCCTATATTCCCAATACTCCCTATATTCCCAATACTCCCTATATTCGTGATACTCACTATATTACCTATATTCTCTTATATTCCCTATACGCCATTTGCTCCTACACTCTTTATACTACCTACGTTTTAGTAGAGTGTACATAATCCTAGAACTTTCTAGAAGGCTATCAATAAACAACTTGATCTTTACCTTTAACCTTTGACCATTGACATGGTAACAGACAGACAGACAACTGTGCATTATTATAGTGGTATGGACACTTGTTGAAGAGCTGCTAAAGTTTATAGATAATATAAAATCTTTCTCGATCTATTTGTTAAATAAATTCTTCTATACTTGAGAACAAACTTCTTCGACAACATCGATAAGAATAATTGTACCATCACATAGATGAACTACAGTAGAAACTTCTGATGAAAAATCAATATGTCTTGGAGTATCAATAAGATTGATTAAATATTTTTTATCATCTAAATAAATAAAAATGAATGTTTTTTGTAAATTTAATAATAAATTAAAGAACTTTTTTTATGAACAAATGTAACAGCACTGGATTTCATTGTAATACTTCGCACCTATTCTCTTTCTAGACTATCCATTAAACGTAGCTATATAGAATGATTATCAAATTCTTATTCATATTAATTTTTTCACTCACTTTACCAGCCAAATGTGCCACAATAATTCCATTAGAAACAAGTATTCAGAATTGTACGACATCTATTGAACGGTATGAATCCTCATCGCCGAAAATAAGATCATCGAAAACTCATGTCGCCGAAAGCACATGTAATTTTAGCGAAAATTTGCATGTGATTTCGGCGATGTGCGTTTTCGGTGATCATATTTTCGGCGATGAGGTACACAACCTATTGAACTACAAAGATATTGCATAAATTCTTATTCAACAAATAATGAGAATGGAAAAAAAATAAAAAATAAAAAAATAAAAATTATTCTTGATTGTCATTTTTGTCAGATAACTTCTAATAATCATCTATTTCTAAATCATTTCTTTCTTCCTTTTTTGTTTTGTTTCAATCAATATTTTTTCTTCGAATTATCTATTTATCCTGTTCGAACGAGATAAATGACATCTTGTTTTCCAAAAAAGTTTTACACAATCTCATTTCACTTTATATTTTATCTTACATAAGGAAAATAAGAAGAAAATCATCAATATTTGTGTAGTTCCATTTCCGTTCATATCAACAATAAAACCGTTTATTTCTGTCCTTGTTTGTTTCATTTTAGATTAAAGAAAATAAAATGCGTTATATTCGTACTATTTTGGATGTTATGTGTTACCATGACAAGACAAATGTCTCGTCAACATCTTCACAAATATCTATATCATCTCCATTTATATTTGATATTGCTCGATTAAAAAATGATGAATTAATTTATAAAGAAGAAAACATATCCGATGAAGCTCGTCTTTATTTCGATAATAATCGTAGTAAATTACAACGTATTGCAAATGGTGTTGTTCGATTTTATTTACCATCAGATTCATGTTCTGGTTTTTACATGGGTTTAAATTTAATTGGTACTAATGAACATAACATTAGTCAAATGAAACTTTCTTCATCATTTTCCAAAACAAATGATATTTATTCTACAATGCCTTTATTAAAACAGTGTACTACTGTTACAAATAATGATTTCGATTTTGTTTATGCACGAAATAATATAATATCTCTCAATATTGTTGAAACAACATTATTTGATCCAAATAAATATTCTAACATACGTGAACGTCATATTGAACAAGATCCAATATTAGGAATTACTGGTGATTTCGATATGATAGATTTTGTTGTTGTCAAAGAAACACAAAAAGTTCGAACAAATAATTCAATACTATTTATACCATCAACTCAACACGTTCAAATTAATGATCCAATTATCACAATCTCACATCCAGGAAATGAACTTTCAACTCAAGAGTCAAGTGGACGTCATCATTACGACTTATTTTTACCTCAATTTGAAGAATTGAGAAAAATATTTCACGGTTTTGGTGGACGTTGTATCTCTTATGGACGTGTTATTGCTCCATATAAATTAAATTCAAGTTCAAATAAATGGATCGAAGATCTTCAATATCGAAATACTGATTTTTCAAATTATCAATGTATTTTAAGCAATGAAAATCTTTATCATGGCTCAAGTGGTGGTGTTACATTAAAGTCAAATTTTGATATATATGAAAATATACCAACTGCAAATGGTCAACAATTAACTTTAGTTGAATTTATATCAATACATTTTGGTGGAGAATTTATACCTTGCCAAGATTGTCTATGTGATGTTATTCCGTCAAACCGGGAACAGATTGGTCCAGATAATATTCAATTTTTACATGAATGTAAATCCTGCAATGACCACAAACAAACACCAGTATCATACAATTACGGTGTGAGCGTTCATCATCCAGCTTTTCAAAAATATTATCATCAACAAAAAGAATATTATTTGAATTTATTTGGTGGAAATCTTCCAAAGCCATTAAATGATTATTATGAACTACATCATATATAATCTTTTTTTTTCTTTTTTTTTTGTATTGTTATTATTTTCTCTAAAATAAAGAACAAACATTTAGAGCACTTTTTTTTTTTAACATATATATTTATTGTGCCATATAAATGTATTGGTTCACAATAGAGCACTTTTTGTTTTGCAATTTTTCCTATAAAGCACAGCTTGTTGAGAACAACCAAATACTGATCTCGATAGCTCTCGAAAGGGGCTACAATCCTGTGAAGTCAAATTCTTTAAGACCTATTGTTCTAATATTAATAACAGAAACTACTATTTCCCATCGGACAATAGTTTAGAGAACTTTTAATACTTTATTGACTTTTCACTAGTAAATAGCTATTAAAAATTCTTTTATATATCATTCGACACAGAATTGAATGGGCTACATTTTGGTGACAAGAACTTTTTGAATATTATTAGTTTTAATTAATTAAAATTAATTAACAGATATAGAAAAATTTAGTTATAATTTTCAAATTTCAATTGTGCCATTAGAAAGAGCGTTAAAAACTGAACTAAACGGCATATCACTTTGGTTAAAATCACTTGTTTTCGTAGGATTTTAGTAGAATAATAAACAATTTAATTTTTGACTTTTGTTTAGTGAATATCTCTATCAAACGTCATGATATTGAGCTGAAAATTTTCCCATATCCTTCCCACACCAGTCCCAACATATCTTGAAAGTTTCATGCTATTTGGATGTTCCTCACCTAAGACCGATTTTTGACGGACGGGGGTCTTAAATAGAATTTTTGTTGTTTTTAATTTAATTATGCACATAAAAAGTGTCCAATATTCTCTTATATGTCTAATAAATCTATGTTTATCTAAATAAAACTCTAAAATCGTTCGGGAAAAAGGTGTCGATGAAACGAAGCAACACTGACTAAAATAACAATAAATACTTGATAATATACATTGTGTCTCAGAAATAATCTACCAAAAAGAAAATCATAATTGAACCCTTTTCCAATATGGTCAAACAATATACGACGTTTCTTCTAAGAAATTTCTTCCTAACATGATAAAAACATTGATAACTGATTAACTCGAAGACATGAACAATTTCATAGTCTTCACAATTATTAAGGTTTATACTGTTAGATTTCATTTTATGAGAAAATATCTGAACAAATGTTTAGAAATCAAGAATTGAACATCTCGAAGATTTAACATTTTGGTATTGAAATCAATAGTTACGATTTTCAGCATCATTCGTCAACTTTATCTTTACGAATAAAAATTTGGAACTCTCCTTTACCATAAAAAGAATCAAAAACATCAATTTATTCTAAGACATTCTTTTTTCTTTTCAGTCATCTTAACTAAATAGCAAAAAAAATACGAAACAATTTTTGATAAACTAGAAAAAAAAGTAATAATCGCCGAATAATAAATTGAAATAAGATTTCATATAGTTTTGATAACTATGATAAGAATGAATAGAGATAAAATCCTACCTAATTATCAAACAAAACAAATATAGAGATCTGATTTATTTTATTAAATAAAATTGATCTTATTTCAATCTATTTACTTATTTTTAAAATTATTCGAATTTAAATAACTCTTATAGAATAAATATCTTTATAATCTCAATCAATTTCTAATATATGTCAATCAAGATTGAACTAACATTCATCTTATATTGATTGTCTAGCTTTTTATTAGTTTGTTTTGTCTTCTTAGTTTTAGTTGAAGATTATAAGAAACAAAAAAGAAAGGTCACATACAGACAACAATAATATGTAGAAGTAGACAGACATATTTATTATAAACATATACTTGTCGCGACAATATAATCATTCTTTCTTTTTCTCTACAATTCTCAATAAGTGAAGATCATATTGTCAAACCATTTTATTCGACATAGAATTGACGATGGAGTAAGAGATTTTTTTTTATGATATATTTATAAAAAACCAATATAATATATATATAGGTGGAGAAATTTGTTAATCGATAGATTATGTTTTTTAATTATTTTTTATTCTATTCAAGAAATAATTGGATATGAATTAGTATCGAGTATGTATTAAGAATAATTGTTAATAAAATGAAATCGAAGATTATGATTAAGATATTCATCTTCAAAATTGGACAAATCCATGTGAACCAAATCCATGTCGAGCTGGAACATGTGAACTTATTTCAAAATTCAATTTTATTTGTCATTGTATTCCTGTAAGTTTTTCTTTTTAATTAGTGGAAAAGAAAAGAAAAAGTTGATCATTGAATAGTATGTACATGGTCAATTATGTGAAAAATTAAATTATGATCAACAACCATGTGAAAGTAATCCATGTTATAATCAAGGTTTATGTTCACCTATATCTCAAAGAGATTCTTTAACAAATAATACTTTTATGTGTCTTTGTCCACCACAACATGCTGGAGAATATTGTCAAGAAAATATTGGAGAATGTTCTTGTTTAAATCAAGCAACTTGTTATAATAGTAAGTTTTATTAGTTTTTTTAATAAATAAATAAATAAATATTTAGCATCAAATGATGGATATAAATGTTCTTGTCCAATGATGTTTACTGGACCATTTTGTGAACTTGATTTACGAAATACAACGTTTTGTAGTTATAATCCATGCCAAAATAATGGTACATGTATATTAATTGAATCTCCAGCTGGAATTTGTTTATGTCAACCAGGATATATTGGAGAATATTGTGAAAAACGTGTTTCTTTTTGTCAAGAAAATCCATGTAGAAATAATGGTTGGTTTTTTTAATAACTTAAAGAAAAACATATAAATAAAATAATTTATGTATTAGGTACATGTGTTCCATTATCTGGTGTTGATGGTCAATGTCTTTGTCAACCAGGTTATTCAGGTAATTTATGTGAACAAGTTCAAAGAACATTTTGTTCAGTTAATCCATGTCGAAATGGATCAACTTGTATTGTATTAAATCATACTGGTGATGGATTTTGTTTATGTCAAGAGGATTATGTTGGACCTTATTGTGAATATATAACACCAACGGCATGTAAAAAACGTTGTAACAATAATCAAGGAAAATGTGCTTTAATTGATAATAAATATGGAAGATGTTTATGTCCAAAAGATGTAACAGGAACTTATTGTGAAATCCAACTTCATTCTTGTGCACCAAATCCTTGTGGTTAGTTTTATTTTAAACAAAAATTTATTTAATAATAATTATTTTAGAAAATAATGGAATATGTGTACATGAAATATCAACTCAATCATATAAATGTATATGTACATATGGTTATTCAGGTATAAATTGTTCCCAAAATTTAAATAAATCATATTGTTCATCAAATCCTTGTACGAATAATGGAACATGTCTACAATCTCCAACAAGTGGTGATGGTATATGTAGATGTGAACAAGCTTTTTCAGGAAAATATTGTGATGAAATAGTTAAATGTGGTTATGATCAATGTCAATATCCTGAAGAAGTTTGTTTAGCAGATAGTTGTGTTAATGTAACAGGAGAACTTTATTGTTTATTACATGAATGTAAACATGGTGGAAAATGTGATCCAATAAAAAGAGAATGTTTATGTGAAAAAGGTTTTACTGGTATTAAATGTGAATTAAATACAATTTATTGTGATCAAATAAATAATATTTGTTTAAATAATGGAACTTGTTTAATTAAAGATAATCGTTGTCTTTGTACAAATTATTTTACTGGAAAATATTGTGAAATTTTAATTTAATCAAAATTAATATCATTTAACTATTTTACTTCTTTTTTCTTTTATTTATATTATATTTCACATTTTCTTTTTCTCTTTTAATAATTATCACTTTTATATTAAACGATAATATTATCAGTTAAACATATTTAGTTTTATTCTCAATTATATTAACAATCTATAGATCTATCTATAGATTAGATTTATACCAAATTTATATCCACAACTGAATCTTATTTCGACGGATAATAAAAATGAATGGCTTTAGGCAAATTAGAATTAATATATATAAAGTAGACTAAAACTTTCTTGACAAAACGTTTATTCATTTTTGTTTTGATTACGAGAGTTAGTAGAAATATCAGAAGAATGAGTCATTTTGTGCGGAAGTAGTTATATTAACAGATTTATCCCTTTGAGGATCATTGCTCAACTAGTGGATGAAATTTCTTTGAGACTTTATATTTAATATGAGCAGTTGTGTATTCTTGATATTTTCGTCAAAACTTTTTAAAAAAATCTTTCAAGTCCTTCTTTTCGATCCATATCCGTACTCCCCCTACTGGGATGATGAAGAGGTATTTTGATCATCCTCGTAGGGAAGTACGGATATGGGCTGCAATTCGATAGAGATCTTACGTAAAATCAATCTTTGGAATATGATTAGAAGTCACTCCTAACTTGATTTCAACTTGGAGAACTGAAATATTTAGGGGATTGCAAAAGGGCATTATTTGCACTCCTCGTTAGATGTCGTGTGCCAAAAATTCATCGGGCTTTATCACCTGGGTGACCAGATTTGAGTTATACTTCTTATATAGATATCTCGCCTATGTCATAGAATAAATTACATTTCGATATCTTTTTGCATTTTTGAGTTATTCAAAAATTAAAAAGCTTTAAAAAGTGTACAAAATAAAGTATGCTGGTCCTCAAAAGGTTAAATAAGAATAATGTCATTCGATCTCGATTATCAGTGATCTCCTCTTATCATTCCAACGATTTTTCTCGAGATTTTCTTATTTCGGTTATAATGACGTTGAATATAAGTTAAGCTAATTTTCTTTTATTTTGAGTGCATTATGTATTCAAATTTTTTTTCAATCATCACCTGGACAAAATAGATCCTTGTTTATAATTAATGTTTTTCATTGAATATTAATCATCAGGATTTCGTTTTATAAACAAATATTTATTCTTTCTTTGAATTTATTGAAAATTTTACGTTTGATGATTTGTTTTGTCTACTGAAATCTATTCAATAGATAGTTGCAATATCAAGAGTGCTCTATATATTTTCAAAATATGATCATTATTTAGTTGAGATAATTCTATAAAAATTTTCAATGATAAGTATAAATCCCTATTTTAAATCAATAAAGAAAATAATCATTTTAACATATAAGTATGCACTAAACTTCATACTAAAGCAAAAGTTATTAATAATGAATTCTATTCTATTTTTGGTCATCAACCTTCACTGCCAAGTACAGTCATTATATATATTCAAAATGGTTTTATGAAGGTCGAGAACAAATTGAGAATAAATTACGATCTGACCGACCTGTAACCAAAATAACGTTCGAAAATATTGAAAAAGTTTGTTGTCCAATCCTCATCTTACACTTGATAATTTTACAAATGGAAACTGATCTGACAAGGGAATCTCTCGAGATGATGAAAAGCTTTTCAATTCGGACTAGTTTTATCTTGTAGATCCTAGTGAATAGTGAAATATCCCAGGTTGATTCGTTGCTCTTATTGGTTTGGGAGGAAGTTATGATCGGTTTACTGATTTTTTGACCTATGGGATCACATGAGTAGCACTAGGAAATTATTGAGATAATGCCTTTTCAAAAATTGACTATTTTTCGCACGAAATGAAAATTTATCTTCAAAGACAGTCATTTTTTCAACATTCACTATCTCAATAAGGATGCATTTATTTTCTCTGAAACATTCCAGGATATTCTACTGTTCATAACATTTCTTTATGGACAATATTTAAGATCAAAACTCATTGATTTCCTAGTGCTAATCATATGATGCCATAGGTCAAAAAATCAGTAAACCGGTCATAACTTCTTCTTAAAGCAATAAGGGCAACGAATCAACTTGGGATATTTCACTACTCACTAAGGTCTACAAGATAAAATGGTCCGAATTCAAAAGCTTTTTATCATCTCGAGAGATTCCCTCGTTAGTGTAAGAGCACCATCAAGCGAATCATTTTTGACCATTTAAAACTGAATGAATCCAGATATGTAAAGAAAATTTGGCAAAATATGAGCAATAAACATGGCGATTATGTGATCTAGTGACTGATGATCAGTTGTTATTTTATCATAAAGCAATTGGTCGAAAAATATCAAATAATGTTTTGACAAGAAACAAAAAAACTCCGTCAGCTGTTATTCTATAAGGTCGATTTGCCCGAAAAAGATTGTTTTCTATGCATATTATGTTAGAAGTAATCCTGTTTTAATCAATGTAGAGTAAGGAAGTCAATCTGTCAATGATAGGTATTTAATTAATAATTCGTTTTAACTTATTGTCAAATAAGTGAAAAAGGAAAATATTATCATTTAATAGACATATCATCAAACTTCATTATGAATATGTCAAGTAAAATTGTTCTGAATGTTAATCTATCTTAAATCTAAAGAGATTAGAATAATAAGAGAAGCAGCAAATTAGTCAGAGTTGTCAAGATAGTATATCTCTATCTATTTGATTTAATCTTAAAGAAAATCTTATCAATAAAAACAAATCTGAACTCTTCTATCATTATTTAACTATAAAAATGAATTTATTTGGTAACGATAATTATAAATGAAGTTTCGATGAATGAAAAAGAAAAAAAGAAAAGACTTGAATATGTTCGTAATAGAATTGATTAGGTTGAAAATTTTATTGATGTTTGCAATGAGCAACGTTATAATACTGTTATTGACTACATATATCTATGAGTAATCATAAATTAAGTAACTAAATCAAACAAATGCATCAAACAAAATCGAATCAATTTCGGATGACCAAGGTCAACTGAAAAAAAAAGAAGGAGGCATTACACTGCACGCGGGGTTAGAAAAAAACAAAAAAAAAGAAGAGGAGTAAGCAAACAACCGGACAAAAACTGCGGTTCTTTTCTTATATTTGTTAAATTCTCGATAGAATTCACTATTTTTATCCTTGACTTTTGACATTTATCGTTGCTCCATTTTTCTAAAAAGAAAAAATTCTTTAATTATTATTTCTAAATAGATTAATAAACATACTTTATTGATGGCTGCCAGATGATGCTGATTGATCTTTAAATATAACAAAAACAAAAAATTGGTTTTTTTATTTTAATATAAATTAGAATAAAAAAAAAAACAAACCTGTTTGAGTAGATTGTTTTTCTTGTTCACCAAGATTCGGAACAGCAGAAGCGAGTGTTGATCTATTTGAAAATGAAAAAAATAAATAAAATAAAAAATAAAAAATAAAAAAGACAAACTGTGTATGTTGTTGGGATGGATGATATGGTTGGGTTTGTTGTTGAGTTATATTTCTTTCTAATTGTTCCTGAATATGAGTAAAAGAATCTCGTCCATGATAATCAATCTGTCCAGCTTCCCAAGCTCGACGATGAGCAGCAGAACCAGATTGAACACCTTGATCATTTGTTAATGAACCATAATTTAAACCACCAAATCCACCTTCGGATTGACCCTAAATTTAAACAAAAAAATATATTTTAAATTTGTCATCCGTATGGTTTGTCTACAAATGCAGATAAATCTGCACCGAGCTATAGAATATACGGGTCGTAGTTCGCACCAAATTGTAACATTTGGGAACAATTGCTCATGCTCTTCGATGTCACAGTAAGGAATTTACTCCATTAAATGAGGAGCCCCAATTATAACTGTGTTTGTGTTTTTAATATAATTTATATATGAAAACACATCCATCGATTAGATTCGATCATAAGAACTTATGATTAAATTCTTATTTACCGAATGATTCATATTATTCTCCTTCTATACTATTTAAAAATAGATGCAAAAACAAATAAATTCTGCAAAAAAGAAAAAGAAAAAGATAAAGCTATTTATTCAAACCATAAAATATTCTCTTTTTTTTTCTTTTGAAAAAAATGAAATAATTTTTTGTGATGATAAATTATCTTGTTGATAATTATAATTAAATAAATTCGAATGAATATATTCTGGTTGATAATGATTTAAATAAATATTTTCTCCTTGTTTTATATAAAATATTCCTGATTTGGGAATAATATTATTTATTGAATAGATTTTTTTAATATTTTCTTCAATTGATATATCATTATATAAATCATCTATTATTGATGGATATGATAATCTTCGATTTTCAAAGAAATTTTTTTTTTCTTCTTCTTTCATTTTATTTACATTTAAATCAATATTCATTCGACATGATTTATTCACAACTGAAATATTAGACTAAACATTTTTTTTCTCAACTTATTTATTCGATTTATTTTAGTAAAAGAAAATACGATAAAATTTTTTAAAAATAAAAGGAAAAAATCAATAAAAACATGCTTTACCTCACTTAACATGCCTGATTTGTTTTGTTCGGATTGCTGAATAAATAAGGTGAATATGACATGCATGGTTGAAACAAACAAATGCAAAAATAAAAATAAACTTGACCAACCTGATTAAATTTAGATAATTGTGGCCAAACTCGTTCATACATAACTTTCCACCAAGAAAGAAGAAATTCTCTTTGAACATCATGTTGTCCATCTAAATTGCCCGATAATTGTTCGTTTTGTGGATTATATGTTAAATGCCATGGTTTTAATGCACCAGCAAAATGAACAACACGAATATCATTATGAAATCTTTTCAATTAAAATAAATAAAATAATAATATCAATAAAAAATGGTTGAACTTACCGTGTAATAGCTGGAACATATGAATAAAATGTATTTGCTGTAACATTATAAACAAATGGTATATGACGAGATACATCAGATGATCGCCAATTTGAAAAAAAACCATTTAAAAGTCCTTGATCACCACCTATTGAAAAAAAAAACACAGCAACAAATCCAATAAAAACTAAAATGAAAAAAAAAAAAAGAAAAAAAGCTTGTACCATCAAATGAAGCATGTTGTTGACTAGCAAATTGAACCAATTTTCTAAATGTTTCTTTTGAAGGTCGATAAACAAAAAGACCTGAATTAAAACAATCAGGCCAACCAGCATCAGGTGCAGCTGAAAATTCTTCTCGTTCAAATAAATCATCAATATTACGTAAAACAAGTATATCAGCATCAAGAAAAACACATTTGGAATATTTTTCTAAAAGCCAACAATTTACTTTTGTAAATGTAATACCAAGTTCAGGACGACGTAATAAATTTAAATTTTCACTATCCTGAGAATCTAATTCTTCAACAAGAACAACTTCATCAAAACTTGTTTCTAATGTTTGTCTAAAAAACGAAAACAAAAAATGTTTTTTTTTTCTTTTATTATTTAAATAATTAATAGAAAAATAAAATACTTTATTAAATTAGAAACATGTTTTGAAATCATAACAACTAATTTTCGTTGTGTTCCAACTTTGCGTAGTGATTGTGCAACAACCAAAGCTCCAAGAGCATAACCATCGTTGGTAGCCAATGTTACAAATGCTTCAGAGGACATTTTTAAATAGTTTTCAATCAACACAAGCAGCTAGTTACTTTTAGATATAAAACAAAAAAACTTATTTATTATATATAAAACCCTTCTTTTTTAAAACTATATACAAAAAAACAAAAAAAAAAAAAAAAAAAACGAAACAACAACTATCGTACTATCTTTATCTTATCTAAATGTATGTCCACTTATTCATAAATGTATATATTCATCTATCAACTTCACTATATTCTATTTATCTAAATATAGTTATGTATAGAATGGATGTTTTTTTCTTTCTATAAATGTATATATTCTTAATAGCACAAGGTTAAATCACGTGAACCGGTTAATGCGTAGAAATTGTTGTGAAAAAACTATTCGAAAAAGATTTCTATAAATCTTTAATAGATTTATTATCGATAAATTGATTTATTTAATAAAAGTTTATTTTATTATATTGAATATAAAAGTACAAACCTAATAATATATAAAAAAAAGAAAAAAGAAGGTCCATCTCATCAGTAAACAAGTTATAGAGAATGTAACTGATGTATGGATATAATAAGATCGAAAATAGAATGTCCACATAGTACCATAGATAACTAAGAGTTAAAACAACGTCATATAATATATATTAATAACCAACAGTTTATTTACAAATAGTTCCATTTTATTTACAAATTTTTTCTTATTCAATTTCATTATTAAAAAATCGATCTTTAATTATTTATTTAAAAAATTTCATGTTTATTATTTATTTTTGATTAAAAATCTTTTTTTATAGATGTCATTATAATTGTTCTTATTCACTTTAATTATAGCGCCCTCATTCTCACACATTGCTCTATGTGTAAATTACACCAATCAATCTATAGATATCATTTAAATAAACAAGTGCATCTGAAAAATCCAAACAGAATTTCGATGTAAGACTTTGCCTTTAAATAGTTCGAATAATCCATAAAATATTTTAGATTTTCATAGGACGTTAAAGAAGTTCTGATAAATAGTAACTATCCATTGTATAAGATATATATTATATTTATTTTTCGAAATTAAAGGTTAGAAGACATAATGATAATGTTCGATTTATTTTTCCATAATCTTTTTCTATTAATTTATATCTGTCAAACTGATGAATCGGTTAGAACTCAGTTATACTAGTCGACTTAGTGACCGAAAATTTGTCCAATTTTATGAAAAAGATACTGCGATGATATGATATAATGATGGACGTTGAAAGACAGATTAGATATCGCAGTATTACGTAGAGACAAACGAGAAATCCTAGTCTGGAAGAGGAGAAAACATTTGACTTGTCCTAGGAAGATAATAACATGTAAACAAACAATATTTTTCATTTTATTTATGATAACATCAGCACATTACTTATTCGTCAGTTGCATTCTATACAGTCTGTTTATACAATCTATCTAATCATCAGAATAATCTTCAAAAAACATTTGTTAAAGGTTTCATAAAAACAAAAAAAAAGTCAATTTTAGTCGATTTTATGATTTCTATCTGGTTAGATAGAGCAATGTATCTCCTATCGAATACATTATAGTTTATTGATTTAAGGATATAACATAGGCTTTTTCATTTCTACGTTTCCGCACGTACCACCTTTCTTCGTCATTTAAAACGCTAGAAAACTTAGCTTAGTGTCAAAATGAAAGCAATAATTATCTCTATTACTTAACAGAGCCGAATTTTTCGATTTCTCCATTAATGTTTATAAAAAACAAATTCTCCTGGGGTTTTTCATAGTTCATTAAAGGAATTTTCTAAAAATACAAGTTAAGAGAATAACGGAAAATGAGGTCCATGTTAAGTTCTAGCGTCAGATTCTGGCTACATTTTAAAACCAATCTGAAAATTCTACCATTTGAAGTGACAGAGAAATTTGTGACGCACGGAAACATAAATTTTGAGGAAGACCTCTTTAGAAACTTTTGAAGAAAGGCTATTATTAGCCATGGGTCCTATCAAATCCATGATAGTACTGAAAACCGTATATAAAAAAGTGTTATTATTTAATTGATAAAAGAAGAGAGAATTTAAAGATATCCTCTATTAGACATATTCAATTTGTCTTCCTTTCGTTGTCTAAACTTCTCTTATTGAACTATTTTGAAATATTAATTAAATATTTTCATAGATTCAAACAACCGATCAATCAATTTGACACATTGTTACATCCTTATTTTACGTTGATGTCTATATCGTTATTTTAAGATCTTATTTAACTTTTTCTTATCAATTATATTTTAGTTGAATCAAAAAACAATAATCTCCTCTCTCTTTCTCTACTCGAATTATCCCAACCTATAAATATATATAGTCAACCATTACTAACTGCGCAATAAATTTCAGTTCAAGGTCAAGAAAAATGTTTTCTTGGGTTTGATGAGAAAAGAAAAAAAGAATAACAAGAGAGATTGAAGAAAACGAACAAGAGTTGTTAGGTAAAAGAACAGAACGAAAGTAGAATAAGAAAGGAAAATAAGAGACTAACCCAAATATCTAAGAGAAGGAACATATATAGATAAGAGATATAAGATTTTTTTCTTATGGTATATATAACATAAGTGCCATAATATACACATATCGATAAATAGAAAAAGATTATTGAAAAGAAAATCGAACATTATTATCATGTCTTATAACCTTTACTGTAAACAAATAAAACTAATGGATTTATTATTGAAGATATATAACTATTTCTCACAACTTTTTTAATATTCTATCTATAAAATTTCTATACGAAGTGAATGAAATTGAATGTCTTCATTCAAGGAAGATTCTTTTCTAAAGGAAACTTTAACAATATTCTATGAATAATTTGACTTATCGTCCATAGGCAAAGTTTTAGATCGAAATTCTCTTTTTATTTTTGTGTATATATATAAAAGTGACTTGAACATTGGTCAAAACGATCAGAGTTGGCCATGAATGGTCGGTGATGATGGACGCATTTATATTGTGCTAGTCTAACTAATATATTATTCTAGAACTAATACCACCTGAAATAGATCTATATCAGTTAGGATGATTTTCTCCTCATGTAAAACCAGAACAATTTTGAATACTTTTTTAGGAATAAAGACTGAATAAAAATAAAAGTCTATGTGAATTAAAATAGTAAAACATATGGTAACGAAATTGGTCTGTCTGATAAAAAGAATAATGTCGAAGTAAAATGATTTAATATATATTGAGTAAGATATTGAATGAAAATCTTAAATTAATATTGACAAAAAAAAAACGAATTGTTGATAAAACAAAAAATGATATTCAATTTAACAAAATTTTCTTTTAAATATTTTTGAAAAAAACAAAATTCTTTTTCCTTTTTCTTTCTTATCCAATGTCTTTTTTGTTATCTTTAGATATAAAATGATAAATAAAGTTTAGTTAAATAAAAATCTTAAAAAGATGAATAATAAGAGTGAAGAATTAGTTTCTTATTCGAATGGTAAAAATGAATCATTTATAGAATATATTGAATTAATAAAAAAAAGTCAATTACATTGGGAAATAATATTAAATCGACCAGAAAAATATAATGCAATAACAAGTTCTATGTATGATCGTTTAACAGAAATCTTAAATCAAGGAGCAAAAGATGAAGAATTAGTTCTTCTTTCAATAACTGGAAAAGGAAAATATTATTCATCAGGAACTGATTTAACTGATCCAGCTAAATCATTTGTAGGATCAATTCGTTGTTTTTTTATTTAGATTATTTTTTATTTTCTATTGAATAGGCATCAACAACAACAACAGATATTGAAACAATAGCTGAACGAGGAAAAAATCGATTAAAAAGTTTTATTGAAAGTTTAATAAATTTTCCAAAAATTTTAATATCATTTGTTAATGGACCAGCTATTGGTATATCAGTGTCAACATTAGCTTTATTTGATGGAGTTTATGCATCATCATCTTCAACATTTTCTTTACCATTTATACGTACAGCACAAACAACTGAAGGTTGTTCATCATTTACATTTCCAAATATAATGGGTTCACTTCATGCTAAAGAAATTCTTTTATTTGATCAAAAATTAACAGCAGAACAAGCACAACAAAGAGGATTAGTTACAAGAGTTATTCAAGATGATTTACTTGAAAAAGAAAAAGATGAAATTTGTCAATTTATTTTATCATTACCTAAACAAAGTTTATTAACAACTAAACAATTAATACAACGATGGAATATTGATACACTTAAAATTGTTAATCAACAAGAACTTAATATTTTAAAACAACAATGGTTATCTCAAGAATTTCCACAAGCTATTTTAACATTTATCAATAGAAGAAAAAAATCGAATTTGTAATAGATATATATTAATTATTTTATCATTATAAGACACATATTCATTCTTTCTTTTTTACTTATTACATTAAATAAATCTTTTTTTCTTTTTTATAATTTATTTTTCAATGTCTAGATCATTTACTTAAATATTTATTTTTTTTTTTTTTATTATGAAATTTTCAAAAAATAATCTTTTATAGATATAGAGAATAATATTTATTTTTATAGTTCGAATTATCTCGAAATAGAAACTTGAAAAACGATTTTTTTTTCATATCTCATTCCAATTAAATATTTCTATTGATCCTTATTTCAATCCTATAAATCTTATTTTCGATGTCAACAAAAATCAACAAACTGTTTTTTAAACTCTTTTAATAGATATCAAATCTAAATTCTATTAGAAAAATCATTTTTTTTTGTTTTATTTCAAATAAAATGATTTTGAAAAATTTGTTGATATTCATAGTTCTTCGATCACTTACAATATATATATATATATAATCAATAGTTTTTAATTGATCTTACTTCAATATGTCAATTTTAATCTTATGGAACTTTGAATCTTCACATTTCGACTTTTTTCTTTTTTGAAAGATTATCTTCAAATTTTATATTTTATTTTTATTTTCAACAACTATCGAAATTCTTCTTTTTTTTCAAATATCGAGAAGTTGAAGAACAAAACTAAAGATTAAATACCAGAAATGGCTAAACTATGAGAGAAAAATATCTAGAAATAAAATGAATGGTTATATTTATATAAAAGAATATTCTATGGAATCTCTCTCACACAAAATCCACAAGCATTTTCAAATCGCATGAAACTTTCACGTTTTCGGGATCTTGTTAATCTAAACTAATCTAAAAGGGCACTTTATTATCTTTGATCAATAATTACATATATAGAATTGTTTTATACGAAATTAGAAAAAGCAGAATGCACTGGAAAATAAATCGATAGAAAGATCATTCTAATTCTACGTATTAACTCTTAACTATGTATATATATGTTGTGATCAATATTAAAATTCAGTCAAATTTTAAATTTGTCTGGTCAAAATTAAAATTTTAATTTTGTCGAGGCAAAATTGAAATATTGATTTTGCCCAACATAATATCCGTCAGAAGTAAAATTTTAATTTTAACTGAGCGAAATTAAAATTCTTTTTTTTTGATGAAAAGAAAAAGGTAAAGAAAAACAAAGAGTTAAAGTAGCAACGACTTTTTTATTTGAAAAACGTTATTAACAAATATTGTATCAGTGTGGATAGAAAAGGTCCTCGCAGGAGTATCAAGTTATATATTCAATTTAATTAATGCGTCAATTAAATTATCGGTAATTTACATTTAAAACAAATTTAGACTATTTTTTTCATAACTTAAATTTAAAAATGAGTTTAAATTATCATAATTTATATTTAAAATAAAGTTATATTATTTTTCGTAATTTAGATTTAAAATAAATTTTATTTTTTTTCATAATTTAAATTTATTTTAAACTTGATTATCGATGATTTAAATTTATTTAAGTTAATAAGAAAATGACAGCCCTACACAGTGGGCAACTTTCATCAAGCAGACGGACATGTAACTTTTGTGTTCTGATACGGGTTGCCGTTACTCAGACGTGTTTGTATATTACTCACAAAATCGAATTTACGAAAATAAAGCATTTTTTGAAAAAAAAAGATTTCGGGATGAAACACCTGAGGAAGCCTTGCCCAGATTTTCGAAAAAATTTTTATGGTAGGAAATATCTTGTGTCATACATCATCCGATGCAGTTTTGCTCGCTGATTCTGAAAATCACATTCATTTTGCGCCACAATGCTATCGGAACCGAGAAAATAGGGATTCAGGGGCAGAAGTCTGGATTTCTGGAAAACTTCTAGCATGGTCTGAATTCCTCAGTACGAGGTGGCGCTAAGCCCGACGATATATCACATATAGAAGAATAATCAGTAAAAATTTCAGATCAATTGGACTTAATCTCTTTATAGGGTTAGCAATGTATGGAATGATCAATTTTCGAAGGTATATCTAGCAAAAGCCCCAATTTTTTTTCTGAAAAAATGCTTATTGTTATACATGATGCGATGCAACTCGACGAGTTGATTCAGAATATCACCTTGATTTTGCACCCAAATGATGCCTTGTTTCCAAAAATACAAATTGGGCGGCAAAAACCTCAGTTTTTGGGGGACCCATAGCACCGACTGTGCTCATCAATGCGAAATGGTGCTATTGTCAACGATGAACTAGATGTGGAAGAGTACTTAGTGAAAGTTTGAGATCAATTCGACGAAAATTCTTTTGGGGGTTTACAAAATACGAAAAGACTGGTTTTAAGAACCTTGTTGGACACAGGAACCGACTTTTTTTTTTGAGAAACATTTACTGTTATATATGATTCGATGCAGCTCGACGAGCTAATTCCGAATATTACTTTGATTTTGCATAAAAATACCTTCGTATTCGCAAAACTAACGATTTCGGTGCAGAAGCCTGGTTTTTTTAAGAAACCATTAGCACCGTTTCTGTTCACTGGTGCAACACGGCGCTATGGCCAACGATAAATCATATATAGGAAAACAATTGGTGAAAGTTTCAGCTCAATCGGATTAAAAACCTTTTAGGGGTTCACAAAATACGGTATGACCGATTTTTGCACCTACTTTTGGCCCAGTAATCGCTTTTTTTCTACTCCATTTCTTGTTCGATGGAAATAATTTTTTCATACAATGAAGCTTATGGGTCAGTCATTCGTTTGAGATAGTTTTTCATTTTAAAATATTTTAATAAGTTAATAACAAAAATGTTCTCCGTATAATTAACGATTTATGAACAAATTTTTTGACCATGAACTTTTCCAGGGTTTGACTTGATTTCTGTAAATCTAGTTTTAGGGTAAGATAGACTAACCATAGATATATTCATTCCAATATTTGAACTTTGGAAAATAGAACTTTCGATCATATCTGCCTGATTGCCCACTGTGCCCTAGGCCTTGCTCCTTCCACACTCACCTACATCCATACCCACACCCTTCAAAACCAAACCATCCTCACCCACATCCATACGCTTTGTTATCAAAATTTAACCTTTTTCTTTTCATTATAAAAACAATTTTAATTTTGTCTAGTCAAAATAAAAATTTTGATTTTGACTAACATTATATTGGACAAAATTAAAATTTCAATTTTGACCACAACATATATATGATTGATTCTGGTGGTTAATGTACCGTTATATGTGAACTGTATCATCAACGAATATGGAATACTAAAAAAATTCAATCTTTTTTTTTTTTAGTTTAAAATTAATTTTTAATAGATTTAATAATTAAATCAATATTTCCATTTAAATTTATCCTCGAAATGCATTTTATGATTGTTTACTGATAAACATTGACATATGTCTAATACGGAAGGATTTTTTTTTTAGCAACTGGATTTCATGTAATATTGGGATATGTATAATAATCTGTATTCCATAAGTAGTCAAAAATTCTATATGTCAAATTGTAGTTGAGAATAAATGAGATATAATTTGTGTCTATTGATATGAATCAATGATACGATCAAAAATTGATTGATTAGAAGTCAATTCTAATATTGCAGTTAAATTATCTGTAGATGATTTAAATGATAGAATTGAAAACATATCTCATAATCAGTTTCGAAAAGAAATCTTTTCTTTAATTCAACAATTAATTATTTTTAAAAATTCTTATTTGATAAAAAATTATTTTCGTATTATTTTCTAAAGTAAATAAAATTGTTAAATTTTTCAATTTTTAATTCTTTTTTGTTTCTCTTCAAAGTAAATCATGATAATAAAACATTTAAAAATAACTTAAAAATTCCATGTATATTAAAGAATTTATTCAACGATTGTGTATAAATATGGTACAATAAGAATTTGAATTTGTTTTCAAAGGAATTTTCTCTATTGATTTAGTTTGAAAATAGTGCTTTTGATTGTTTATTAAGTGGTAGAAGTATGAATATATTTAAAATCAATCTTATCAATTCGATTATTAAAGAAGATCTACCATTTATATATAGTTTTCCTCGATTCATTTTGGATATTGATGGGTAAGATGATTATTCATTCAAAAGAGACTATTGGATTTTTTTGTTTGATTAGTTCTCAACTTCATTCTAGTCGAATTTATTTATCAATTGATGATATTATTTTTCCTTGATTATTAATTAATTTTTGCGTTTATTTCATATTGAAAATAATATTAATTTCCGAATTTATTAATATTCAAGTATTAATTAGTTATACTACTTCAGTTTTCTTTTGTATATTCAATTATGATTATTACAAAACATTATCAATTATTATCAAGTATAATTTATTCAACAATTCTTATATCAACAAGTATTACGGGATGAATAAGAGGTCAATTAGGAAAATTGTTAAATGGAATATAAACAACTTTTGATCAATATCAACAGACAGAAAGAAGAAAGTCTTTTTCAATTATTTAAACATATAGATTAATTTAATTGTTTGTTAGAAGAAAAAAAATCAATGGCAATTTTTAATGCTGGAATAATTTTATTTGACTTTGCATCATTACGAAAACAAACAATAAAATAATAAAATGGGGCTAAGTCAGTTTATTCTTGATCACTATCATTATTCAATAAACTACTACTGCCGGTATCAAAAACGACTTGGCCTCAATAAGAAAGACAATTTTATGGTTGATTGTTTGAATAACGAACAGATAGTATCTCTAGTATTTATAACTGTTTGACCATTAACAAGTCCTTATTATGAATTTTAGTGAGTCAATTGACCTTTCGATGTACTGGTACTTAAAGAAAGAAATTCTAAAATAATATATTTATATTTTCATTAAACTAACCAGTTCCAATAGGATCATCTCAAGTAGAGCCCTGCAGGGTATCGATAACCTGCCCTGCCCTGCCCTGCCCTGTCAGGGCAGGGCAGGGCAGGTTGCACTATCAACAGGGCAGGGCAGGGCCAGGTTAAGGAAATTTTCACAGGGCAGGTTGCAGGGTACGGATGTCGTAACCTATCAATCTGTAACTAATTTTGTGAGCTAGATATTGTCGACATCTTTTCAGAAGTTATACATTAAGAAACAAGATAGAATTCAAAGTGAAAGTGAACTGAGAAATCAATTTAGATTGGTCGTTAAGATATTCAATAGAAACAGATTTATCGATAACTTATCCATTATATATTCTATAGCTATTCAAGTGTATATGTAGTTTTTTTTATTTTGAGTTTTATATTCTTTTTTTTTCTTCATTATTACAATTAAATAATTTCTAAAATATCATCATCAATATCAGTTAAATTTTCCTCTTACTGGAATATCAACTATGTCTAATTCAAAACAAGATATAGAACGAAAAAAGAAGCAGGTGATAGAAAAACTTAAAACTGGTGAATTTATTGCTATATTAGAACCACCATCATCATCTCATGGTTCATTTTGGCAACATTTATTACGTATCAAATGTTTAAACAATGAATATCAACCATTTGTACAATGTCAATTGTGTTATGAAATATTATCTTATTCTATATCAAATGGAACTTCAACTATTAGTTATCATGTTAAGAATTGTTTGAACAAATCAAGTGTGCTAAAAAGTAACAAAACCATTGATAGTTATGTATCAAAAAATACTGAAGTTAATGTAACAGTTGATGATAAACGATCAATAACAGTTGCTTGTGCTAAATTTTGTTCATTTGATATGCGGCCCTTCAGCATTGTAAAGGGTCAAGGTTTTACAAATTTATGTCAAAATTTAATTAATATTGGTTATCAGTATGGTACCACTAAAAGTGGTCCACCTTCAGCAAGCTCAGTATTACCTGATCCAACAAATGTTTCTCGTACTGTTTCTCAAATTTCTGAAGAATATAGAGAACAGTTAAAGAATATCTTAAAGGTTGATTTACAAGGTGTAAAATTGATCGGTATATCAACAGATTATTGGAAGAATAGTGGTACAAGTGAAAATTATTTAACAGTAAATATACATTATTCCAAAAATGAAAAAAATGTTACTTATATGTTACGAACTTCATTATTTGATCAATCTAAAACAGGTGATAATACTAGAAAAAAATTTTTTTCAATCTTATCAAGTTATGGCATTGATCCAAATGAATATCATATTGTGTATATAACTGATAATGGTTCTAATCTTATTTGTGCTTTCCGTAAGTGTCTTATGTGTAAAACTCTGTATTGCATAATTTTTTTTATTTAGAAGGAGAAGTACACCTTCGGTGTATTTGCCACTGTGTAAACTTAGCTTTACATAACGGTATCAATTTATGTTCGAACTTAGAATTGTTTATCAAATCTTGTCAAGATATGTGCGTTCATTTCAAAAGATGTGAAATGAATCAGTTATTACAAACGAGTTTAAAATTAAATGTTGATACACGTTGGAATTCTATTCATGATATGCTTGAATCAATATCATTTAATTTTCAAAAATGTGAAGATGTTCTACTCGATCGAAACGAATCTTATTACTTGAATGAAATTAATCGAAAATTATTATTGGATTTAGTAAAATTCTTGTTCTTATTCAAAGTAGCAAGTGAACAGTTATCTGCTGATACATCACCAACTCTTCATTTAGTTGTACCTTGGTTTACGAAATTGAAAAATTCATGTGAAATTGAAGAAGGTGATCATTTATTACTCGTTCAATTCAAAAATGCTGTTTCGAGGATGCTGGATGAAAAGATTTATTTGACGTCTTTACACTATATTGCTACTTTTTTGTATCCAGCAACAAAAAAATTTTTAGTAAGTTTACTTTTAGCACTAAATCACTCTTCTATTTGTCAAATTTTCTTTAGACATTAAGTAGCAGCTTTCGAGACGAAATTTATTCTGACACTCGAAAAATGATTCAAACCATTGGTATTCAACAAGAACATTCAACTGTATCATCTACAAAACAGACTAATATTGCTAATAAGACGTCGAAAAAAAAGAAAACCAATTTAGTTATTCAAAAAGATGTTATGCAAGAATTTGCAGGAGTTGAGGAAGAGGATTTTGATGATGATTCTGATGAAATTGATCGCTATATTAACACCAAGCTTTCATTTTCAAGTGATGACACGTTGTTAGGATGGTGGAATAAGCATTCTTTAATATTTCCACAACTTGCTTTATTAGCTAAGTCGTTATTAGGCGTTCCTGCCAGTTCAGCTACATCGGAACGTGTTTTTAGTTCATCAGGTCGAATATTAGAAAAAAGAAGACAGTATTTGAAGCCAGATATTGTTGATGATATTTTGATGATTAGAAATTTTCGAGATGTATAGTTTTGTTATTTTTTGCTTTATGATTGTAACAAATCGAGTGAAATTGTATAATAAATTGATACAGAAATTTGGAATTTTCATCAATGTTAAAAAGAACAGGGCAGGGCAGGGCAGGTTAAAGGTTATGGAATAAAATCACAGGGCAGGGCAGGGCAGGGTGCGCGAAAAAATTCACAGGGCAGGGCAGGGTCAGGTTGTCAAAATCTCAGCAGGGCAGGTTACAGGTTGTCAAAATAGCGTACCCTGCAGCCCTCTAATCTCAAGAACAACCTCCTTTACCAGCAATATTTTCATGCGAATCTTCTGCATGATTCGTTTGAGACATATTTTAGAATATGAAATAGAATTATTCAAGTACAATAGGTCTATCACATATGATCTATTTTTGCTTTTGACCAATTGATGTTTTACCGGCATAATACATTGAATGACCCAAAAGTCCTCAGAACACCTTCGTTCTTATTAAATAGATGAGATTATTGAAAATCTCATCTGTTTAATAAGAACGAAGGTGTTCTGGAGAGTTTTGGATCATTCGATGTATTTAATGTTTAGTGGTAGATTAACAAACGAAATACTAAATTTGAAAAGAGCACATGAATGAAATTTGGAGAAATTTTTTTTTGTCTTTTCTCATCATCAAGATAGATTCAGATGCCATCTAATGAGAAGAATAGGTTATTGAATCTCTAACATTTCTTATCTCACATATGACATCGAATTTTTGGTAGAGCTTTTATTATTTGCTGCACCATGATCAATATTGGTTTTTGAAGAAAAAACTTTTAATTGCTCTTCAACCAAATTCCTATCTAAGTGACGTTGAAAATTTATTGAAGAATAATAGAACTTTGACATCTTATGTTTTTCTCGATTTTACGCATTGAAAAAAATGATCATCGGAAGTGAAATAATGACATATGACGGTAGAAAAGTAATCGATGGTTTAATTATTATTCAAACTCTTATGGAGGTTTTTTTCAAAAATCTTGTCACATATGTCATGTCAAAAAAAGCGTTTTATATAAGCAAAAAGAATAATTAATAACTGTCGTTGAAAAAATTTTCTTCTCACCTCTTATAATAAACACTCTATTGAGAGAGAAAAATAATCGAAAGAGAAGAAGCACACAAACTGTACATATGTTTAACCTATGAAGGTGATCAATAGCAATAATAATATCATCTTTTTTTTTCCAATGACAATGACTATAGGCAGGAAGAACAATCATGGTTTGTACTATTGTTCATAAAGTTATTATATAAGATGATGCACTATATTCAATATGATGATATTAAGAGAAACTATGGTAACAACGTTAGAGGATCTCTCTGTCGAATTGCTCTATGAAATATTTATTTACTTCCAGTTTCATGAAGTATTCAATATTTTTTCTAATCTTAATTCACGATTTTCTGCTATCATTAATAACATGTCATTTATGCCTGTTTACTTGGGTCTCAATGGAATGAGCATAGAAGTGACCGAATTCTATTATAATCATTTATTACAATCAAATATCTGTAATCGTCTTATTTCATTATGTGTCTCAGATAGATTAGCTATTGATAATGGGTTATGGTTATCATCACATCTATCTACATTTATTAATCTTCGTCATTTATCTTTATTTGATATAAAACGTTCTTATTTTGAATTGATACTCAACTCATTATCACCTATTAATTCTCTCAAAATGTTTAGCATACATTTTTCAACTAATGATCGTGCTACTGATACGTTTATAGGTGTACCTGAAGGTGCTTATTATGAACGAATTTTTCATTTATTTCCATTATTACGTGTATGTCATCTGTTTTTCCACCGATACATACTTTATACTGTAGACAGTCAATTCGTTTTACCAGCTGATAGACCTTTTATGCTTATTAAAAGCAATCTTTCAAACTTAGAATCACTTGCAGTTCGATGCTCACCAAGGTATCTATCATATTTATTTGATTATCTTCCACAATTGGAAGAACTCAGGTATACACGAACTGATCCTTGGCTACCTGAAACACATCCACAAAGACATGATGATAACAAGTAAGTTTCTTTGTTTAATATCATATATGTTATTTTAACTTATGAACTCAATCTAAACCGTATGATAAAAGAGAATCAATCTAATCATTTTTTATCAGAAGAAATTTTAGTAAAAAATGATTTGTGAACTGATAAGATAGGTTTTGAATGATTCGTATTTACTTTTATAATCTAGTATTAATAATAGTAAGAAGATCTTATATAGTTGATGAGTTATATATAAGATTTTCAAATCTACATAATATATATTGAAATTATTGAACTATACCCGTTTTATATGCACTTATAGATGAATCTATATAAAAAGAAATCATGAAAATTGTGTACTTGTTTTTGTGAGATGAAAACAAATGTTATCGTTGATAATAAGTGAATTTTCTGCTTGTATAAGTGAGAGATCTGATTTAAGTTTATTATTGTGACATTTATCAATTCGATAAAATAGATAATAATATCGAATGGTCTCTTCGAAGAGACTTATCTTGAAACATTTCGATTGTTTCTATAATGAAATTTGTTTTCGATTTTATGATGAGTATGATTATAGATACGATTACTTTATGAAAAGATTTTAACGCGTTCGATATTATTTCGACATAATTATACGATAAGAAATTGTTCAATGTAAAATTTTTTTTAAGAAATCTATTATTTCTACATCGTGAAGAGAAGAACAATTTGAATATAGAAAAGAATACTGATGTGGAATCTCGTGTAGATAAATGAAAGAAAACTGTTTCATAACGAAGTTAAATAATATCAGCGATGCATTTTTTATTGTTGTGTTAAACCATTTTAGCCGAGCTATTCCCATTAATAAACATCAGGCTTCAAATCTACGTCGTCTTAAGTTAAATTGGAATGGACGTATCAATACTGTCGACTCAATTAATAAGTTATTCGAGCGTGATGTTTTATTTTCATTGACGAACTTGAAATTATGGGCAAGGATGGCTGGTTCCCATGTTCTTCATCATTTACTATCAATGCTTTCCAGTCAATGTTTATATTCGTTTGATGTTAAATGGTTTGTAGAAAGTGTTGTATCATTATCGGACACAAGTAATATATTATCCGACACGTTTCAACAGCTCAAAGGATCGGTGTCAATTGAATTACAATTAACTTTGGAAGAAAACTATTATTATGTTAGAGCTGTAACAGTACCAAGAATGGATAAACATATATGTGTATATTCTTATCTAGATAATGCTGTGCATAGGTATGAATAGACAGTTGCTTTTTTTCTATAGGAAACTTTCTTTTTTGGATTTAGTGGAAGTCGGTGGCCGTATAAAAGACGCATCTTCAACAGTCAAGTTTTACGGTGCAATGAGATTATTATGAGTGAGAATGATGATAAAGTCAACGGTGAATTTCTTTGTTTATCACCATCTATTGTTTTTTGGAATAAAATTACATCGGTTAATATTCCTCTACCATTGAATTCAACTTATCTTCATTTTCTGTTTTCACAAACGACTAATCTACGTACACTAGAACTGCATTATAAGTCATATGGTCCAGCTAATTTTCTTTTCGAAGATGAAACTTTAATCGATTTCCTTACAGATGTTTGTTTGTGCAATATACTCGTGTCACATGGTTTACGACAACTGAATATTTTTACCGCTTGGAAACAACCAAATTTGATAAACATTGCCTATTTAATCGTCGAACGACTGCCGTATTTGCAAGTAATAGAATTACGTGGTATTGATGATGAACTGATTGAAATGTCACATATACTTATCAACGGTCTTAAGAAATTAAATTATTTCACTTTTCGAGGTTTACTTGGACATGGTAAACGTCATGAGAAAGAATTCCGTAATCTAGAAAATTCAAATACTCGTTATTTTAGGACAGAAGTTCCTAACACAATAGATGCAGATATATTTATCGTATGGTTATAATAAAATGAAACAGGAATAATTTGTTTTTCTCTATTCTACCTAAACTTCTTTTTGTAAAAAAATCGAAAGAATTTTTCAATAAAAATATTTTGTTTGTGTTAAATGAGATGAAAATCTTTTTTAATTGTTTATTTGTTATAAGGACGAGAGTCGATAAGGGCACTTTTCTCTCGAGAGAATATTTTCGAAAAAAAAAGTATATCATATTTTTTTGCTTTCATTTTGACTCGAATACATCCCACAATATAGATTTTATGGTGCTGATCACGAATATCATATTGGTTTTTGTTCAAATTATTCCAATATGTGAGGAAAGGAAGTTTTCAAAAAATTTCCTATTCATTGTTTTTGCTCGCCTATTGATCTTATATAATGTTGAAACTGTTTGAAAACAAATGTGAAATGGGTATTCAAGTATGCTACATCTAATCATGGAGAAATTAACATATCTCAGTATGTAAAACAGCTCACAGAAGCAGATTACGAATTAAAACTCTAGTCAATTGATGTATGCGACTCTTTTTTTAAAAGTTATATAACTTCCCTATTCCATTCGGTTGCCCTCTAAAAGTGATACATACTTATATATATCATATATACGATAATAATTCATAGGAATAGATATGTTATGTTCTCTCGTCTAGCTTTCGATAAAAAAAGTACATTTTTCACTTTAGACTTTATCTGTACAGAACAAGGAAGAAAAAATCAACATACTATTTATCTTCTTCTCTCTCAACTGAATAGTGTTTAGTCAACTGTAACTATCAAATACTTATTGCATAGAAATACAAAAAATCAATCTAAATCCACGTATTATCAATGAGAAAAATTTGTATGTACACTTACAACCTTAAATAGTCACTGACAATACTCGAAAATCATCTGTAACATGGAGTGATTGAGTAGGTTATTTTAGTAGGAAAAATTAAAAAATTCTTAGTCAAACAATAGTCTGACTGTAAACAAGTATCTGATAAAAACAGAGTGTAGAGTCAATCATTTGATCATACTCTTGTTGTGGCTACGCTCATTGGAAAGGTTTTTTGAATTCGTAAATAAGCCATCAAAAAGATCAATAACGAATAGATTTATTGAAGATTGGACACTTTTTGTCGTTCCAGCTCATTGTTTGCCCGCTGTAAGCTTGACCTCTAGTCCAATAACTGATTCAATGTTTGGAATTACAGGTACAGAGATTGTAGTAATATTCATTGCCTGCATACTGTCTTGTTCTTTGAACAACTTTGTCACTTGAATATTTAACCGATCATGTGAATAATTATGTCTGTAACAGTTATTCAAAGTTGATGTCTGGGAATAGCACTACCCCATATTCCGCTGCAATAAATCCTGTCCTCCGCTTTCATCGTTGGTCTTTTCTTCGAGTAGAAGGACTCTAACGAATAAGCAATCATCAAGAAGACAAGATCAATGGAACTGACGTCTTACTCATCTTATCTCCTGTAAGTGTTCGTTGTTTGTGTAAGTTCTAGTTTATTGTGAAACAATAAGAGATAACAACAGCAAAAATAGAAAGAACGAACAAAATACACCTATGTGTAGACTTCCAGTATATATATATAAGATACAGAGAAAGGAATAAACCAATATATATGAGAGGATAGGAAGAATTCATATCTATATATGATATACGTATAGAATCTTCACTGAAAAACTCTCCACAAATATGTCATCGAAAGTTATCAAGAAATTTAACAATATGGAATATACGAGACATATTGGAACTTATCTACATAGGCTCATACTCAAAAGAGATACAATTTGTGTTAGCCCTCAAATACTATGAAAAATTCACTTTAAGATACTTCCTTGGATATTCTTTTATCGATAAGTGATACTGTCATGATGTACAGCTACTTTATTTTAAGCACTATTTATTGTATATACATAGCTATTTAATCTTCTACTGGGTATTTAATCTTTTCTTTCAAGCGCCAGTACTATTTAATGAATTGGCATAGCTATTTTTATCTTTTCATTATTATCTGACAAGTAACTATTTAAGCGGCAGTACTATTCCATGAAAATGGATAGCTATTTAAATCTTGTCATCATTTTCGGACGAGTAGTTACTTAAATATTACTGATTCTTTTCTAGCAGGGCTTGAGATGGTGTGTAGTTATTCGTGTTCTCATAGTTGAAAACGTATGGTTTTTCAGTTTTATCATTGAAGTGATGAGCAACTGTATTAAGTGTTTTAGTTTCTATTTGACGCTTCTTTCAAATGGCTGTTCCCGAGTTTCAAAACGATACATTGGAAGCTCAAAATTTTAAACAGTAAGATTAGGAAAAAACCAAATCGACAGTAAGTTTTAAATAGCTATTTAAAAGAAGTTAGTAGCTATTTAAGGGCCCCCCCCTCTCAGGAAACCTATTTTTCGAAGAAAACTCGAAGTTGAGATTTTATCATAGAAAGATGCGCCGAAGCCTCCTCTTTCAGAAAATATATGCCTGTTTTTCAAAAAGGCCAGGTTTTAATAAACTTACCAAAGGAGATTGGGGACCTACTATCATGTTTTTCGAGACATTTTCGGAAGTCTTTCGAAAAGGGAAAAACATTACTTTTCTATTTTAATACATTGTATTAAAAAAAAAAGAAAATATACCAGAAGATGCAGCGTGAAAAGCTCTATAATTTGTATAATGCCACTTATTTTATAGTTGCACTTTTTCTTTTAAAAATCGACAAAATTCTGAAAATATCCTATTTTTATATGTTGTTTTTTGAGCTTGAATAAAAAAATCCATTTCTAAATTTGTTTTTCGTTTTTCTCAAAATCAATTTTTTCGAGTTTACCGTTTACGCGGGCAAGGTTTTCTTAATAATGACTCAATAGAGAAGGGATCATTTTTTTTTTTTTGTTGAATAAAGGACAGTTAGGGCTAGGACTTAACAGGCTCCGATTTTTAAATTTCTCTTTTGCTGAAATAAAAAACTTGGATATTTCATTTGTATTAGCGTTTTGAATTTAACAATTTTCCGAAAAACGGTTTTTTGAAAATCAAATAAAGGGAAATTGAAAAATTGAAGTCTGTTAAGTTCTAGCCCTAAGAGTGTTCTACAATTTAAAAACCACCCCGACATGATTAGCTAGTGTTCCCATTATGAAATCCTTGCCCACGTAACGGGTAATGAATTGACTAGAACTTTTGCATATCTTTGAGATTTGTGGGAGATATTTTAACCATAATCTATTCTAGCTAAGACTAACATTCTCTGACATTTTGGTTGAAATCGGATGATAAAATAGGAAAGTTCGTTTCTGAGAGGAATGTCCCCTTAAAAGAAACAAATAGCTATTAAATATTTAAAATAGTCCGCCTTTTAATTAAAAAGTATCTCTTTTGAGAAGCTTCGTTTAAAAACAAAACTACATAAAGAATGAAACAAACATAATATTTATCTATGAAAATTATTCTACATATAATCAATAATTATATTTCAAGTCAAATTTAATATAAAACTTCTCCTCAGTCGAATATAAAATCAATATTCGAATTGAATAAATCATCGAAACTTCTATTTTAATATTATTTTCTTCATATTCGAAAGTCAACATAATATATCTGGTAAAAGTCTTAATTTATTTAAGACATATTAATAAATAATAAAAATATCTTCGATTAAATGATATTATTTCATAGAAATTATTCATCACATTTGTCACAAAGACTTTTTTTCATCAATTTAATGAAAACCTTTGAACAAATCGAAAGGTAACATTAACTGTTTTATTCGAAATTACTTATCGAAATTCTTTGCCACTTTTTTCAACTCTCTCATTATGCTTTTATTTATATTCAAACAATAAGATAAAATAACTTTCATTGTAAAATCGCACAGAATGTTAATTGATATAATGAAGATAATTGAAATTGATGTATTCTGAAACATATTCGAGATGACATAGAATAGAAAATGATTCGTCTCTATACAACATAAGATTATTTTCGGTATTGATTATATATAAGAATAGAAGGATGTTTAGTATTCAACTTGAATAAAAGGTCTCATTGTTAAACTGACAACTTTTAGCATCTCATATCTATAAACTGATAGTTTCTAATTTATAGGTTTGTACAGCCTAGATTTTATTGCCACACAATTTAATATTTCAATAGGATTTATTTTTCTCTTTTTCTCTTCATTGAATAGAGATCATCGAGTTATGTAAGAAAGAAAAATTTAAATAAAGTGACAATTTCGGGACTATTTTTTCTTTATTTAAAAACAATCATATTGTGAATATTTATGTTAAAATGTTTGTTTTTTTGGTATTTGAAATATATTGTTTTTCCCATGTAACTCGACAAGCGCTATTCAAGCATGACAAAAGTGATAAAGACTAATTATACTGAAATATTAAATGGTAGGCATATAACAAAGGATCTAAAAAGGTTTAAATTGCAATATTTCAGTGAAGAGACATGATAAAGTAATTTAGATTTCATAGTGACCGTGACAAATCGAACTTAAGCCGAATAAGTTCAATATGATTGACTTGCAGTAGACATTATTCGATTAGTTAGATAGAAGTTTCAATAAAATTTGTTTGAAATAAATCTAATAAGTTATTATCAGTAAATATAATTATAATAAATAATAAAAAGACAAAAACTTTTCACTCAATTTACATTGAGAGTTTTTTTTTTACATGAATATTATTTGTGTTTTGTCTTAGTTTTTATTTGATTAAGTTTATTTTGTTGGTAATATTGAATTAATTGAGATTTTAATTGAAGATTAAATGAAATTTGACGTTGATTTTTGTTTTATTTCTTGTAAAATTTAGAGAAAAAATAATTTGTTTTTTAAAAATATATTGATGAAATTTCGCATAAATTTGAAATAAATTATCGATTTTTGTTAATATTTATATTTAACAAAAGTTTGTTTGTTCAAATCTAAGTTATGATAAATAATATGTCAATTTTGTTCGAAATAAAACTTTCAAGAACATTATTCAATTATTTT